GGTGAAGCAGATCCGACGGCGGCAGGAAGCGGAACGTGCCTACGGGGACTGTGAGTGAACGAGCTTAGTCAAGGCAAGTTAATGAGGCGTTTGAGGTAAGCACGTTGATGAGAGGAACACAGGGAGCGCAGAAAGCACAGGAGAAGAATACTCGCGAGCAGTTTAAGAAGATAAATCTAATCTCACTTCATCTTTTGCCTCCTACTACGAGCACTCAAAACCAACAGTCTTTATCTTGGTACCCGCCGTGGACGTGCTGTCCTCGACGAGTAGGTGTAATACACGCACACAAGTAGTTTCTTAACTGCTAGTCGGAAGTTAGAAAAGTCCAAGCGACTCTTTAGGCGGTCGTCTGCATTTAGCCATTCATCTTGCAATTCACTTCTACTTTCTACATATGAAGCTCTTGTCAAACAGGGAACAATCTTGCTCTATCGGCTGTGTGAGGGACTTTGTTTCGCAATGTAAGCTGGTGCCTCATCACCAGGGTACATTTATTCTACCTCCGAATATCGCGCTTCTAATGTTTATCCGTGCGAACAAGATTAGGATGTGACGACGTTAGCCACCGAATAAGAGCTTAAAGGGCTTAAGTATTGCAGTATTTACAGCAATTTTATTATTGTTGGCTTTTGAAGTGTTTTTATTACTATTGCGGGACTGACAGGTAATTCAATATAATACTGAACTGGAGTCACCTGCCTCCGTAAAGCAGCTGCAATCTACGATTCCATCTCAAATCGAGGTAATCAATTCAATTTACCGTAGCAAACACGGACAGCAGTGAATGAATTTTAGTACAAATAGTAGTTCTATTATGTTATATTAAATCATTGCCGGTCTAATTAGTAAAGCTAAGATAATATTCGTACTTCCTCAATTAAACATAGGCAGAGATTCTAATTATGACTTAAAAATCCAGAGCTTCTCCATGCAAAACACGGCATTGTACAGTAATATAGAGTATTTTCGGACAATCTGATCATTTAAGTTACGGAGAGGCGTGTTCTTCATCTGTAGGATATCAATTTTACGAGCTCATTCACTGGAGAACAGCAAGCCAATTAATGTAAAGAGGGTACCATTATAGGCTCATACATGAACTATGCGAGGATAATCGGATCCATGGGAGACTCTAAAATATAATTCGCAGAATATATATATAAGTACACGATAGCAGGTCACGTCTAAAGTGGTCAAAAGGATAGGCTTCATCGGTTCAACGTTCCGATCGGACTTGGCAGCAATAATGCTCTTGTGCAGTTATGACTACTGTTCCATAGTTAAGCACCCCAGAGTATATGACTTCAAATGCATTCCATTTTACAACTGAGGAGTGAGAGGGAATAATATATTGGGTTTCTATGTACCTTGTATCTAATTTATTGCTGTTGAGGAGTATTCCACGCCAAGGGATTACTACCGAGGGGATCGTCTGTATCACTAAAACCAGTTTTGTTGCAATAAAAAAACCGATTATTGG